TACTGACATTGAATTCTTTTATAAAAGCATTTACTTTGTCACCTACATCATGTTCTGAACTACAAATGCAGTTTCCATTTAACAGCAATGATTAACTGGCATTTTGAGAGAAAAATCTATGTTACTACGCAAGCATTTTAGTCCCACCATGAGGCAAACAGGAATTACATAGATAAATTGGATTAAGTGATGCTTGCTTTTTACACTACCTTGCAGCAAACAAAGCTGTTTTCTGCAAGTGTCAATATAAATGCCACTATGGATACTTGTGTTAGCGGCAGTTGGAATGATTTTACACTTACATCTTCATGAGCACACACTAGTGACCTTAAGTTTTAAAGACTGGGGACAGAAGTTCCACTCTAAAGTGACATTAGTAAGGTAAAAGCAGTCTTTCAGCTTGTGAAATGGGCAACCGTGTACTTCAAGTACATCATTCACAGGTGATTTGAATTAAGTTTTTCCAGACAATATTTAGGGATTGAATAGAACAAAAGGTGAAGAATGAACATTTGTATACTTATACTTGCTTTTTTTCTAAATATGATAGATAACAGTGGAGGATATGAGTTACTTCATATGTTCCTCACCACCTGAAAATACATGCATAGACACACATTTACATACAGTATCAATGAACATACATACATTTGTATAGAAATTTATTTTTTAAAAGTCCAACTGCCATTGTCTCACATTTTTATCAATTGCTAATGTTTTCTACTCTATCTGTACTATGTTCCTGACTAAGCATTGATTAAAAATACTGTTGTCATGGAAAATTTCAGTGTGTAAATTCTCTACTGATTTATGTTTCAGAATCTGATTTTCCTTGTTTTCATCTCGCTCCCTGTGCTCTGAGTTATAATCTCTCGAGATGTTTAAGAGAAGTAGCATAGGTAACCCATTAGACATCTTCCCACCCACATATAATTTCTCTCATGAGATATAAGAAGAGATGTCAGTGAGCACTTTCTTTTTTGAGGCAAATCAACAACATCATTATTCATGAAATAACTCTAAAATCTTAAATTTCCATGTTAGCCTCACAAGACTTTAACTTATAAATTCCAGTTTCCTAACTTAAATCATGCATCAGTTTTAGTTAACTGTAAGCCCCACCATTTAAATACAGAATACATTTGACCTTTGTTTTTAAATTGTGATTTAAAAACCAGTTTATTCTGTCAAGTACTTTGTCTCTACATTCAGCAGACAACTCAACTTCAGGAATTTTACATAAGCATAGTTTCATAGTTTCTCTGAAATTACAAGATACATTAATGCGCCAAGTAAATTTGGAAATTTAATTCCCATTCTATAACAAGACGTAAAAAAAAGCTTAAAATAGAGTTTAGATGGCTATCTTCTGATTGTATGCATCTTAATATTAATCATAAGTGGGTTGAAACAAGTTGCTTTGCAATAGATTTTAAATTTCAAACATCCATTCATGAGAACAGTTGTCAAAGTTAATGTGCACAGTTTGATCTGACAGGAACCATAGAGAGAGAAAACCTAACTTTATTTTAAAAATTGTTATTTTGTTGCTACTAGTACTTCACTCTACCATTTACTGTCCAGATGGGATTCCTTTTTTTAGCCAAAAAATAGTCTGCATCTCATACTAATTTAAAGTCATCTTGAAACTACTATATTCTAAAATACATTTATCTGAAAATGAAGAAAAAGTTAAGTGCAAAGAATTGTATAAGAACTCAACTGGTAATACTTAAATGTACAATTTTTAGGTCTATTTAAAGATGGCCCAAAATGTCATTTAGTACAAAAAAAGTAAAAACTAAAAATCATCTGATATACAAATGTATCTTTTTATTTTATAATCTCTCTCGCATCAGATTTGTCTAGGTAAAACTCATTAATGTTTTAAAGTAATGTTTCCTGGGTCTTGGTTTTTTTAGATTAAATAATTGTTTAATTATTAATTTTAGAAAAATGCCAAATACAGATAGCCAAATTGAATCTTGCAAAAACTTTTACTGAGTTTCAAAAAGCGTCGTTAATTTTCACTCTTTTTCATGTCCATTCATGCCTGTCCTTCATGATTCTAGTACATAATGCAACAGGAAAATACTTTTCTGTTTTTTTTTTTTCTTTTTTTTTTTTTGGCTAAAGTGGGAAGCTTTGGAAATTTCAAGAGATTAGTTCTCAAATTTCCAACTCAGTGTTTCCGATAGA